AAAGGCTTAATATCGTGAAGATGGCATCACTCTCAAAAATTGATCTGCAGGTTCAACATAATCCCTATCAAAATCCCACATTTTTCTGTAAAAACTGGTAAGTTGATTCTAAAATTCATACAGAACTTCAAGAGACCCGGCATATCCAAACCAACCTTGAAGAAGGAAAAGAAGGTGGAGGACTCACAGTTCCCCATTTCAGAACCTTCTACAGTGCGGCAACAATGAAGTCAGCGAGTGCCGGCATGAGGACAGACGTAGAGGCCAGTGGAATAGGGCCAAGAGTCCAGAAATAAACCTTCACTTGATGCTCAAGTGATTTTCAGCGCGGGCTTCAAGATCATTCAATGGGGAATGAATAGTGTTTTCAATAAATGGTGCTGGGATAACTGCTATCAATAAGAAAAAGAATGAAGTTGGACCCATCATTTACGCTCTTTATTCAAAAATTAACACAGGGGCGCCCAGGGGGCTCCTCCTCTCCGCTCGTGCTCTGTCTCTCTGTTTCTCTCAAATAAATAAATAAAATCTTTAAAAAAGAAAAAGAAAAACTAGTACAATGTGCTAAACCTGGGTGGGGCCTGGGGATGAGGCCTAGGGTGGGGCCTGGGGGGGGTGGGGCCCAGGAGGCCTGCATGGGGCCTGGGCAGGTTTTCTCAGGACCATCTGTGAAGGGGCCAGGGTCCCTACAGCAAAGAAGACAGCACTTTGCGCAGGGAGCCGATCCCTAACCTGCTGCCCCCCACCATTGCCATGACCCTCTTGTGGAGGCACTGGACTAGCCACCCAGGCCCAGCCAGCCCCACCTCACCAGGGGCCAAGTAGACCCTTGAAACGAAGCTTGGTCCCCTCTCCCTGCGTCAGCGTCCCTGGGAGACATGGCCCTCAAGCGCCACCGTGCCCCGCAGCAGCTCCCCGTCACCCCGAGTCTGACGGGCTCCCGGCATGGCCGCTCGGCACAGCCCCGCAGACCCGCGAAAGCCCCTGTGCCTGGCCCACCCCGCCCCGATCGTTGGGGTCCCTATTGCCTACGACGTAAATCATAATACACCTGTAAAGAAGGTAGTCATCAAGAGTGTCTTAGAGAATTTTAAATCTTTTTTACCGAATTTACAGATAATGCATTTCCTTCCTGTCGTTTCTTCATACCTTTGAAAAGACTCTGAGCCTTTATTTCCAGCCCCACACTTTGCGGACTCGGTTTAACGGTGAGAGCCCTAGCTGCCCGCCCCGGGCGCTGCCCCCCGTGCGCCCTGCTCCTGGAAGGCCTCCCGGGAACCAGGGCACCCTCCCAAGTCCCCCCGGCGTCACCCTCGGGCACCCACCCCCAGGCCACGCTAGCACAGCACCTCCAGCCTGCAGCCAACCTGCCCGGGCACAGGGTCACCGGCCCCACCCAGGATCCCGCCGTGCGCGCCCTGCTCTCGGGTCTCCTCTGACCATTCCCCCAGGCCAGTCTTCTGGAGGTTTCTGAGTCCAGGCCAGCTCTGGAGGCTGACCCCTGTGTGGATTTGTCATGATTAGATCCAGGTGAAACATTTCTGGTTGTCACCTCACCCGGGGGTGGGGGGTGGGGGTCTCTGTGTCCTTTCTCGGACCAGCTCACCAAGGGCACAGATGTCAGCCGCTCCCACGCTGGGTGAGGCTGACTTGGTCCTTTGGTTAAGGTGGTGTCTGACCGACATCTTTATTGTAAAGGTACTTTCCTCCACTCCTGAGGAATCAGGGGCCTGGAGGAAGAGCTTATGCTCCATAAATGTCATTGTTGTTGTTATTTGTTTTGTTTTTAGAAACTATGTTGGCTGGGTGCTTTGGGGGCTCAGTCGGTGAAGCGTCTGCCTTCCGCTCAGGTCATGACCCCAGGGTCCTGGGATCAAGTCCCACATCGGGGTTCCTGCTCAGCGGGGAGCCTGCTCTCCCTCTCCCACTCCCCCTGCTCATGATCTGTCTCTCACGATTCCTCTCTCAAATAAATAAATAAAATCTTAAAAAAAAAAGAAGAAACTATGTTGGCATCATACAACTTTGTATCCTGTTTTTCACGTAGCAAATCGTGAATGTCTTCTCATACCATTAAATACCTCCCAAAACGTGATTTGGGTACTGCGTGAATTCCAGCCTGCAGAGGTATTTGATGTAACTGTTACCCACGAGAGTTGAACTACGAGCTTACTGGTGGAAGCTCTGTGCCGGCGGGGTTTTTCTTCTGTTTTGCTGGCTGCCATGCTTTCCACAGGGAACAATACCTGGCAAATAGCAGAAGCTCAGCAAAAGTTTTGAAGGAACAAATACAGCTTAAGTCTAGTTTTTCAGTATCCCAGGGAAGGCCACAGCAAATGTCCTTGCATGTAAATCTTCACATTTATTTTAGGAGGATCAGTTATAAGAAGGGAAACGTTTATGTGGATAGAGTGAAGGAATAAGGGTGCAAAGTCACGTATATGCTATAATCTCCAAACTGCAAAAATATGCAGAGAACCATCTGGGAGAAAACAGACCAAAAAATTAACAGGGATTAACACTGAACATTTGGATGATGAAAGGTTCCCATTGATTATGAAAGTTCCTCTGCATCTTCTACAGTCGGAAGAACACTTGTATGCAAAGAAGTGGTAGCTTTTTCTTTTAAAGCTAGTCTTGCAGGGGCGCTTGGGTGGCTCAGTTGGTTAAGCGACTGCCTTCGGCTCAGGTCATGATCCTGGAATCCCGGGATCGAGTCCCGCATCGGGCTCCCTGCTCAGTCCCGCATCGGGCTCCCTGCTCAGCGGGGAGTCTGCTTCTCCCTCTGACCTTCCCCCCTCTCATGCTCTCTCTCTCTCTCAAATAAATAAATAAAATATTTTAAAAAATAGCTAGTCTTGCAAATCAAGAAGCGACAAAACTATGTGTGCTTAGCAGCCATTCATAATAACTGAGGGTCCGAGGTAACAACCAAGTGCAGGTTTTGGCCACTTTCAGAGTATCATGTCCTCTCTGGTGTCACTTTTTTTTTTTAAGATTTTATTTATTTGAGAGAGAGAGATAGCGAGAGAGCGAGAGAGAGCATGAGTGGGGAGGAGAGGGGGAAGCAGGCTCCCCGCTGAGCAAGGAGCCTGATGTGGGGCTTGATCCCACGATCCTGGGATAATGACCTGAGCCAAAGGCAGACGCTTTACCGACTAAGCCACCCAGGCGCCCCTGGTGTCACATTTTAAAAAGGATTTTGTCTAGCTGTCGTACACCTGGAGAACGGCCCGTTGGAATGGGGCCCCCGCACTCACGTGGCTGTTAACACTTAAGGGAGTGGGCTCATGTGTCCTCCACTAGGAGATTCAAGGGGATGGGAAGTTCCTTCTAATGCTTGAAGAGCTGTCAGATACCAAAGAGGGGATTCCCATTTCATGCAGTCCTAGAAGAAAGGTTTGGGGAAGGCATATTTTCCCAGTAAATAAGGAAGACTTTTCTAACAATCCATATGGTCAAAGATGAAAACACTGGGTAGAAGGGGGTGGACACCAAATGGCATCTTGGAGGGTCCCTGGGCAGTGGTCGCACCGGGGAGAGGACAGATCCGCCTGCCAGTCCCAGGCCCCAGACTCTCCTGCAGCCAATTCCCGCCTCCTGGAGGCAGAAGAGGGTCAGGGTCCCCGCGTGCCCGCCTCCCCCCTTCATGCAGGCCAGCTCTCCATAGAACCTTCCCCCGGGCTGCACACTCCCCATCCTCTGGCCTTGCTTTGTCTTCCTAACCCTGTCCCCAAAGACACACTGCGACTTGGTGAGTCCTGCTTCTTTCTGTGCCTCTGCTGGGGCTGAGGCACAGACCAGGGCTCAGAGCCCAGACCAGACCCTAGCACACAACAGGCCCACCATGTTCAGTGAACTGATGGTTCTCAGAAGCAACAGAGCACAGGGTACAGACAGCCTCGAGGGAAGAAATGCCCACAATGTTAAAAACCCTGGCGCACCCCCCAAAGGATGAGTGGAGACACCAAACGTGGTCCATCCATAGGACAGAGTAGCATCAGCCTTGAAAAGGAGGGAAGGCCTGGCCCCCGCTGCACGTGCACGAACCTTGAGGACATGGGCCAGTCACAAAAGGACAAACACTGCGTGACTCCACGGACATGAGCCGAAGACACAGAGCGGAGGCGCAGCCCTGGGGGAGGGTTTGCTGGGGGCAGAGCTGCGGGTTCGCAAGACGACAGGGGTGCTGGCGGCTGCGCGGCGCTATGAATGCGGTAAACACACTTAACTGCTATGCTTACAATACCTGCGTATTTTACCACAGTAAAAAAAATTAATTGTGGGTGACTGGGAGAACACGGTCTCCCTAAACCGAGGGTAGGAAAAAGCGGAGAACTTAAACGGTGAGACTAGCACTCGGAAGGAGCCGGCTGATCCGAGAACGCGCTTCATCCCTAGAGCTCAGCCGCGACCCTGAGACTGGAGCAGCGGGGGCGGGCCGCGGGGCTTTCCCTCCGGGCCCCTCCCTCCCGAGAGGCCCCGCCCCTAGGACCGCCCCTCGACCAGGCCCCACCCCCGACCGGACCCTCCAGAAAGCCCTGCCCTTGGTCAGGCCCCGTCCCTCCGGCCCGCCTCCCTCTGACAGATCCCGCCCCTCCGGCCGGCCCCTACTGGAGGCTCCGCCCTTAGACAGGCCCCCCCCCCCCGGCCCCCCCCCCCCCCCCGACAGACCCCGCCCTGCCTTCGGCCCCGCCCCCGGCCAGGCCCGCTCCGCCGGGCTCCGACCTCCTCCTCTGACAGGCCCCGCCGCCGCCGCCCGCCCCCGCCGCTCCACTAGGCCCCGCCCTTCCATCAGACCCCGCCCCGGCGGCAAGCAAGCAGGAAGCGCAGGGGGCTCTGCAGACGCGGCGTTCGGAAAGGTGTGGAGGGGGCAGAGGGCGCCGGTGGTGGTCTCTCGCCGCCCGCGCTGCCCGCCCGCGCGCCTCCGGCGCGACCTGCCGCCCCGGCCCGCGCAGGCCCGCGGCCGCCCCGCGCGAGCACGGCTCTGGCTCGGGGCTCTACTGCTCTGGCCTGGGGGCGGGGCCGGCGCGCAGCGTCATGCATATGCATGAGCGGCGCGGCGGCTCCATTGTGCCCTCCGAGCGGGCGGTGGCGCGATGGCGCGGGCGGCGGCGGCGGCGGCCCCGGGGCGGCGGGCGACGCGCAGAGCGGGCTGAGCGCATGGAGCGGCGCGGGCCGGTGACCGCGGCGGCGAGGGGCCGGGCCGGGCCAGGCGGAGGTGAGCGGGCCGGGTGGGCAGGTGCGGGCGGCGGGGGCGGCAGGTGCGGCAGGTGCGCGCGGCAGGCAGGTGCGGCGCCCGGGGCCCGGCGCTGCGGCTCCTCCGCCGGGCTCGGGCCGGGTTGGAGGCGGCCCTGACGCCCACCTGCCGCACCTGCCGCGTGTGCGTCGCGCTCTTGGGCCCACCGGCCCCGCGCGCGCAGGACGACCCTCACCTGAGCCTTTGTTCGGGCCGGCCGGAATCCCGCCGAGCGCCCGAGGGGTGTGCGCGGCCCCGGCGACCTCCTGAGCGGGGAGGATGACCCGGGGCCCTCGCCCCACCTGGCTCCGACGCCTCCACGCCGCGTTCTGGCCGGCGGGCTCGCCTTCCGGGCTGGCTCTGGGCCGTGCCCGCCCACCGGCAGGGCGATGTGGGACCCGCGCGGGTCTGCCCCGGGGGCGGCGACGCTGGCTGACCTTTCAGCCTCTGGCCTTGGTTTCCGTGGGGACACCCTTTGCCCAACCGGACGTACTGAAGCTCAGGCGGGAGGGTCCCCCTGCTCCCTTCATCCTCCTCTTTCTCCTTCTAAGCTGTTCCCAACCATCCTCCCTTCTCCCCCTCATGAGCTGCTCCCTCCCTGCCCTGGTGCCGTCTCCCCACTGCCCTGCTCCCCCTTACCGCCCCCTGACTTGCTCTCTCCCTGCCATGCTCCCCCTCACCCCCCCACTTGCTTCCCTCCTGCCCTGCTCCCCCCCATCCTGCTCCCACCCCTGCCCTCTTCCTGAGAGTTGCCAAAATCCGTGGCCCCGTCTGTAAGTCGGTTGTGTTATCTGAGAAGATTTCACAGGGACATACACAGAACATGTGACTTGATCTGTAAGACGGTGGTGGATGCAGAGTGGGTGAACACAGACTCACCCACCAAATCCTGGCGTGCTAGAGCCAGAGGGCTTCTGTTGAAGAGGCTTGAGAGGGGTAACAGGATCCCAGAGGGCGTCTTAGCCTCACCCCATGGGTACTGGCCCCGAGGACTTGTCATGCCCAGGGGCTGGTTACAGAGGCTGGGAGTAGAAGTCAGGGAGGAGGAAGGTAATGAAGGACAGGCAGCCAGGCCTCCCCCTGAAGTGTCCACTGGTAGCTGCCTCCACTACAGGGGTCAGGGCTGAGAGCATAAAGGCTTGCGTGTGTCCCCCTGCCTTTCCTCAATCCCAGGATGGTCACCGTGTACCCATTGTACACATTGTAAACTGAGGCTTAGAGCAGTGAAATGCTTTAGCTGTTCCCTGAAGCGTCCTGAGTCTGGGCTGTGGGTAAATGCTCATTCCCCGGGGGTTTTGGATGAGCACCAGCACTTAATGCTGGTCGGTGTTGTGGCCTCACAAGGAGAGCTGCAGGACTTGCAGTCACCTGAGCATATGAGTCCCCGCCTTGTGTCGTCCTGCCTCCCTGGAGCCATCATTTATACCTTCTCTGAGTCTGGTGGACTCCCGTGTCCCTTTGGTTGGAGACACTCCCTGGAACCACGGGCTCCCTGCTCTGGGACCGTGGAGTAGGCCTGTCCTCCTGAGATCAGGTGGCTTGTCATGGGGTGTGCTGCTCCTGGGTGACCAGGCAGCAGGACGGAGTGGAGGTGGAAGAGGGGTGACCCACATTAACGTCTGCCTTTGGTTGGCCTGCGGGAGACTGGGTGCAGCTGCTCTGAGCCCCTGGGGGAGAGGGGTCTGAGTAGCGAGTGTTTTGGAGGAAGATGGGACCTGACCCGCAGAAAGCTGTGGGGCCTTCTAGGCTAACCGCATGCCAGGGCGGTGCTGCCCAGGGGTCCTGGCTTCCTGCTGGAGCTGTGCACAGGAGAGCCTCTGGCCGGCAAAAGCTGCCAGGGGCCTACTCAGGCCTCCTTGCACGCACACACGCGCGTGCACACACACACACACACACCACCACCACCACCACCACCACCACCCCCCCACCCCACCCCCGGGCTTCCCCAGCTCTGCCTTCCAGGCCAGGAAGTGGGAGGAGGGTCTGCACTCAGAGCTCCCCTCTCCCTTTGTCGGGGGCAGAGGGTCATGGGGTACCCAACTTGGAGAGTGTGGGTCTTCTCAGGGAGGAGACCAGACGTAGTTTGGCAGGAAGTCACACACACACACACACACACACGCACGCACACACGCACGCGCGCGCGCGCGCAAGCCATCGGCTCAGGGGGAACTGGAAACGTCTGTGGTCTCGTCCACAGCAGAGAAGTCTTGGGGGTGGAATTCCCCCAACCATGTGATGTAGGAGTCTGCCGGGGGCCCCAGACCAGTAGCCTCCACAGAGGCCCTGCCCCACCCCCGCATCCCCAGCTCTCAAACTGGGGTCCCTGTACCAGCAGCATCCTCACCCACAAACTCTTCCGGCTCCAGCCCTCCAGGTGAGTCTGATGTACTGGAGCCCGAGCTGGGGAAGCACCTCTGGCCCGGGGACTCCAGCCTTTGCTTCTGGGACCAGAGCGGGCCTGGCCAACTCAACCCAAGCAGCTTGGGGTAGGGAAGGGTTGCCACGGGCATCTCTGTGGAGAGGGCCAGCCGGCGGTGGTGGGTTTTTTTTTTTTTCCCCACTAAACTTTAATTTTGAGGGAATTATAGATTCATGTCACCTGTAGGAAATACCTCTTGTGTCCTTTACCCGGCTTCCCTAGTGGTGACATCTTACAAAGCTCTAAGGCACGTCACAGCAGGAGGCGCGGTGACGACAGTCAAGATACAGATACTGCCTTCCCTGTCTTCTGTTCGCACCTGACTCCCTCCTCCCCACCTGGCAGCCACACTCTGCTCTCCATTTCTGGGATTCTGTCATTTCAGGAGTGTTACATAAAAGGAATCCTACCGTGCGGAACCTCTGGGGACTGGCATTTCCCACGCAGCATGGTCCCCCAAGATTCCTGCAGGCTACTGCCTCCTCGTGCCCCCAGGGCTGTGGGTGCCCCTCCGGTGGGTTTGGTCCCCAGCCGTGGGGCTGGCCTTGAGCCGTGCCCGGGAAGGCTGCTGGAGACACACACACAGAGATTCTTATGTGAACGGACGTTTACATTTCTCGGAGATGGATGTTCAGGAGTGCCTCCGCTGGGTCGCGTGGTAGCTGCTCCCTGTTCCCTTCCCAGCCGCAGTGGGGATGAGATCCAGGTTCTCGCTGCCTTGGCATTGGGCGCCGAGGGGGGTGTGGCTTCACTCCGCCCTTGCCTGATGGCCGTGATGTTGGACCCCTCTCCACGCGCTGACCTGCCATCCGTACCACCTCGTCGGTGAAATGTCTGTCTCCTGCCCAGTTTCTGGGCGGGATGTTTTTTTTCTTTTGAGTTTTGAGAATTCTTTATATATTCTAGATACTAGTCCTTTGTCAGGGACAGTGGCTTACAAACGCAGCTCCCGGACTGTAGCTTCATCCTGTCGCCGAGCCTTCCACAGAGTTCTGTTTTCCCTTTTAAGGACTGTGCTCTCGGTATATTGTGTAAGGACTCTTGGCTCTAGATCCCGAAGATTTGCTCCCAGGGGTCTCCAGAGGGTTTATAGCTTTGTGCTGTACTTTTGAATCTGTGGCACGTTTTGAGTTAATTTCTGTACAAGATGTGAAGATTAGTTTGTTTTGTTTTTTTTTTTGCGGGAGTTCAGTGACTCTGGCACCTCCTGTTGAAATGCCAGGTTTCCTTCAGTGCATGGTTTTTGTACCTTTGTCAGAGATCAGCTGGCTCTCTGGTCTGTTCCACTGGCCCGGCCTGTTGTCAGGTCTGTCCGTCCGTACCCCCTCTCCTATCCCCACCCTGGAGTTGGACAGTAGGGACACAGGGACACCAGCCTTCCCTTCCCTGGCTGTGCAGTCCTGGCTCCCACGCCTGCCTCTGCCCAGATTCCAGGGGCCCAGAGCCTTCTGGACCCACTGACCCCTGTTTTTTCTGGCCCCTGTTTCCTGAGCGGGACCTGTTCGGGGGGGGGGAAGGGAAGCAGAGCCAGCTGTGGGTGGGCAAGGCTGACTGTCTCTCCCTCCCCCTCCTGCCCAGCCCCAGCCCCAGCCAGGCTGCAACTCCGGAACCCACTTACCTCAGTGCTCTGTGGTGGGAGGCTGTGGATCGCAGTCCCCATTATACCCCTTCCCTGCTCTGGGTCCCCGCTGAGGGACCCACCCCCCACTCTCCTCCAGGACTGTATTGCAGAGGACATGATCATCTTGAGGCGCCTGGGCAGCACTGAGGAATGTGAGTCTCGGGGTTAGGTGGGTGCTGGAGCCACTTTTTTGCTCCTGGGCCAGAGGGATGCCCCATGAGTGCTGAGGTGGCAGATCTGAACCACCAGAGTTTAGCTTGTCCCAGGTGATATGTCTGTGTGTGTGTGTGTGTGTGTGTGTGTGTGTGGCCTCGCAGCCCCAAAAAGGCAGTGGTGCTCCAGGACAGAACCTCAACGCCCAGAGGGCGGGGTGCAGCCTCCCCATCCAGGACCTCCACGGCACCCGCTGAGAGCCATCACCAGCATGCATCTGCGGTTAGGCCAGGCAGAAGCAGGTGTGGAAGGTGGCCCCAGCGGTGCCAGCAAGGGCTCGGGCTTGCTTTTCGGGGTGTCTGAGACATGAGTGGCCTGGCCTCCCCTCGCTGGTTTTCCTGAGACAGTAAATGGGAGAGCGCGAGCCTCACGGGGTAGGAGAAGCCCCACGGCATGGGCACATGGGTCCCACGAGCATTCACCAGTCCTGCTACTGTGTTCCCATTGGCCCTTTGCCATGTCCACGGGCACCTGCCAACCCTCTGCCCATGGCTCTGTGTGTGCATCCCTCCCCTTTGGGGAACTGTGTGGGGGTCAGGGCTGCCCACCTGGCCCTGTGCCCACATCAGTCCCAGGTGGCCCCCCTTGCCCAGAGCAGCTCTCGGCGGACTTGCTGCAGCAGGCGGCCTGCCCTCCCCTCCCCCCGGCCAGGGCGGAGGGCAGCTGAGCTTTCTCACCCCTGGTGACCAGTGCCCCCTCTGCAGCCGGCAAGCTTCGGTGCCCGCTGGTTGCTCTTCTCCACCCTCCTCCTGGGCTCCCTCCACCCTGGGGCTTTCTTGGGGAATTCGGGCAGTCAGGTCCTGGGTGCTCCCTACCATTTACAGATATCCAGGCCTTCGTGCAGGAGTGGGAGCATGGAAGGTATTTGGGTTCAGAAAGCCTGCTCCCAGAGCCGTTCCAGGGGCTCTGCGTGGCAGGGCCTGGCCAGAAAGGGTTAATGCTGGCTTCCAGGCTGGGGTTTGGGGTGAGGAGGACAGAAGTTTGCCGGGGTGAGCAGTACGGGGCGAGGTGGCCCTCAGACACCAGTGTCACCCTGCCCTCCATCAGTCGGCACAGAGCAAGGGGGACCTGGTGCTCAGGGCCCCCCACACAGCACTCTGACAGCCCTTAGCTGCTTCTCCACTGATGGCCTCCTTCCTGTCCGCACAGCCAGAGCAGCTGAGTCCCACACCACCAGCAGTGAGGGCTACTTCCTGCCACCCACAGACCTGGCCTTTAGGCTGCTCCGAAGCCAATGAACCCCATGCACCCCGTGAAACCCGCCCTGCCCCCTGCGCCACACGGGTGAGTGGGGCTCCTGCCGCCCTCCCTCTTCAGGCTGCGTGGGTGCGGGTGGGGTGGCAGAGCGGGACCTCTCTTCCTGGTGCTCAGCCTTCTGGGCAGGGGTCTCCTGACCTGGGCCTCCCCACCCACCTCTCTGCTCGCAGTGATGGTCCATTTGCTTACGAGGCGGTGCCTTGGCAACAGAGTGCCACTCAGCCCGCAGGATCGCTGTCGGTGGTCACGACCGTGTGGGGCGTCGGCAACGCGGCCCAGAGCCAGGTGAGCCCACACCTGGGCCCACCCCTGAGAGCTGCCAGGGTCCCCCTGGACCTCAGAGAGAAATGGAGTCTTCTGGCCTCCACGCGGCCCCCGCCCTGCGCCCCACACCTGCTCGCTTCCTCTTCTCCCCTTGCCTCTGCCCCCCCACCCCCCACCCCAGGCCTCTCCTTGGAGCGACTGCATGAAGTAAGTGGATGGTGCTCACTGGCGGTTCTTGCTTCCCATAGGTTTTGGGGAACCCCATGGGCCCTGCAGGAAGCCCCCCCGGCAGCTCCGTGATGCCTGGCATGGCCGGCAGCGGCTCTGCTCTGAATTCCCCGCAGTGCCTCGGACAGCAGGCATTTGGAGAGGGTGCTGCCAGCAAGGGCTTCGTGCAGCAAGGGGTGTATGGCCGCGGGGGCTACCCCGGGGGCCCCGGCTTTACTACTGGGTAAGCAGGAGCCCCTCCCCCCCCAGGCAGGGCTGCTGGAAGCCCTCCAGGGGCAATGCTTCTGGCTTGGCAGGTGCCTAGGCCTGTGCGGACCAGTCTGTTGAATGTTGCATCTCTGTTCCTCCTGTGGGCTCCCACGGGAGCGTGTAGACACGAGCGGGGCCCCAGTAAGTGCCATGTGCCCCCCCCCCCGGGTGACAGGCAGGTAGGCACTTCTGAGCCTGGCCCTGTGTGTCTCTCGCAGGTATGCGGGCGGCCCGGGGGGGCCCGGGGGCCTGGGTCTGCCCTCACACGCCACACGACCCTCCACCGATTTCACTCAGGCGGCGGCGGCGGCCGCGGTGGCTGCTGCTGCGGCCACCGCCACGGCCACCGCCACGGCCACCGTGGCCGCCCTCCAGGAGAAGCAGAGCCAGGAGCTGAGCCAGTACGGAGCGGTGAGGCCCGGCCGCTCCTCCTGTGCCGCGCACGTGTGCTGGTCTGGAAGGCAGGGACCAGCTGGGCAGCTGGGGTCGGGGTCTGGGGACGGGCGTGTAGTGAGATGAGGTGGGGGGGAGGGGCGAGGCGCTGAGGGGGGTCCCTGGGTGGCACCCACAGGGTAGGGGGGGTGGCCTGAATGGCTTCTGTCTTCTCTCCCTAGATGGGGGCCGGGCAAGCTTTTAACAGCCAGTTCCTGCAGCACGGAGGTCCCCGGGGGCCCAGCGTCCCCAGCAGCATGAACCCTGCCGGCGTGGGAGGGCTGCTGGGCCCCTCTGGCATGAGCCCCATGAGCATGAACCCCACCCGGGCAGCGGGCATGGCACCCCTGTATGCAGGGCAGCGCCTGCCCCAGCACGGGTACCCTGGGCCCCCCCAGGCCCAGCCACTGCCCCGACAGGGGGTCAAGAGAGCCTACTCCAGCGAGGTGAGTGTCCGGGCCTCCCTCATCCTGAGCTGCATCCAGAGCTGCGGCGAGCTCAGGTGTCCGTGTGAGAACCGGTTGTGCCTGACGGGGTGGGCGCCGCACCCTCCCTGGGAGCTGGCCTCCCCGACACCCGTTGCCCTGACTGTGCCTCTCTCTCCAGGTTTACCCCGGGCAGCAGTACCTGCCGGGAAGCCAGTATGGGCCTAGCGCCACCCAGTACGCGCCTGGCACCGGGCAGCCTCCTGCCCCCTCCTCCTACCCCGGGCACCGGCTGCCCTTGCAGCAGGGCATGGGCCAGGCCCTGCCTCCCTCTGGCCCTGCAGGACTGCACTACAAGGTAGGGTTGGCCCCTCCAGCCTGCCGCAGCCCCTGCTGGGTCCCGTGCTGGCTGCCTCCAGACACACAGGCCTCGCCCGGGCTGACTAGGTGGTGGGCCCGGGTGCACGGAGGGTGACCAGGCAGCCTGGAGCTCCGCAGGGATCCTGACCAGTGCAGGGTTCCGGTTCTGAAAGGACCCTCTGTGAGACTTGTGTGTCTGCTTGGAAATTGGCTGTAGGGGGCGGGGAGGGGGGGTGGGGGAGGGTAGACACCCAAGCCACTCAAATGTCCTTTAGGGCAGGGTGACCATATTCCCTCTGCCTGCTGGGGACAGGCCTGTCAGGGGCAGGGTGGGGAGGAGGTGTGTTTTTTCAGCCTTTCTCTGGCTCTCCCATAACCCCTTCTAAACGGGGCGGAGGGGTGTCATCTCTTTTCCTGGAGTAGTAATTTTGTAAATTATGAAAGCACTGCAGGCTCCCTGTCGATTATTTGCAAAATGTAGAAATCATCCAAAAAAGAGACTAGAGGCCAGTGCCCGTGTGTGCCATGGGCGCCCTGCCCCCAGCCCCCTCCTTGGGTCAAGTGCAGGGGCCGGGCAGGGGGGCAGGCGGGGGCCCTGGGCACACACAGTTTTTTCTCCTGCAGCCTGCAGAGCAGTTCAACGGGCAGGGTGCCAGCTTCAGCGGGGGGAGCATCAGCTACAGCCAGCCTGGCCTGAGTGGGGTACGGGCAGACGGGCAGGGGGCTCCTGGGGCGGGCATGTGGAGAGAGGGTGCCCGAGCAGGAGGAAGTGTGGGTGGCCAGCCAGACCTCCCCCCCCCATCCCGGGGCTGCCCCCTGCCCGATTCTGTCCTGACCGGTCCCGGGTGCTCCAAGAACAAACCCCACCCCCCACCATTCTGCCTTGACTGTTTGCTCGACCCCACAGCCCACCCGTTCCATCCCTGGCTACCCCAGCTCCCCACTGCCGGGGAGCCCCACGCCGCCCATGACCCCCGGCAGCAGCGTCCCCTACATGTCCACCAGCCAGGAGGTCAAGTCCCCCTTCCTGCCCGACCTCAAGCCCAGTGTGAGCTCCGTGCACCCGTCACCCCCCGGTGAGTGTCATCTGGTCTCAGGATGTTGGGCTGGGGCCCCAGGTCTTTAGAGTCCTGCAGGGAACATGGGGGTTGGGGAGCCCACACCTTCATCTTCTACTCACAGACCCGTTGGTGGATCTTCCAAGGTGTGGATCTTCTCTCTAGAAAAATATGCATGCGCTAAGAACTTTGTGTATCATTTCAGGGGGTTTATGAGTCCCCTGAGGTCCACTCCTGGTTAGGAACCCCTGCTCTGGGGGAGTCTGCCACAGCAGAAGCTGGGGTCCTAAAAACCTGGCTCAAGCTCTGGGATGAAGGCAGGTGGTCTGTTCACACCTCCTCAGCCTCCCACCCCTTCTGAAAGCACCAGCGGCACCCTCTTTTTGGGTCGGGGGCATGTTCTCCAGTCATAATTTAGGGGACCCTGGCCAGGTGACTGAGGCAGGATGGAACAGCGGGACACCAAGATCCTGTTCCCGTTGGAGGTGATGGCCAGGCCCGGGGTCCTAGGGGCCCCAGGGGCCCCAGGGGAGATGGGGGAGGAGGGGCCGTGCTCCGCGGCCTGCATCCCTGTGATGGGGTGGGGGTGGGCGGGGGGGTGCGCCGCGGGCCATCCAGCCCCATGTCCTCCGTACCAGCTGCCGGCTCACACCAGCGCGGCCCGCTCCCAGGCAGCGGCCCCTGTGACGAGCTGCGGCTGACCTTCCCTGTGCGCGATGGGGTGGTCCTGGAGCCCTTCCGCCTGCAGCACAACCTGGCCGTGAGCAACCACGCCTTCCAGCTCCGTGACTCCGTCTACAAGACCCTGATGCTGAGGTGAGCAGACGTCCGGCCCGGCGTGTGCCACCCCACCCCCGCCCCCGCCGGCCCGGGCTCAGCGCCCGCCTGCCCGCCTGCCCCACGCAGGCCTGACCTGGAGCTCCAGTTCAAGTGTTACCACCACGAGGACCGGCAGATGAACACCAACTGGCCAGCCTCGGTGCAGGTCAGCGTCAATGCCACCCCGCTGACCATCGAGCGCGGCGACAACAAGACGTCCCACAAGCCCCTGTACCTGAAGCATGTGTGTCAGCCGGGCCGCAACACCATCCAGATCACGGTCACAGCCTGCTGCTGTGTGAGTGCCCCCCCCCCCCCCCCC